TGTCGAATACACGGACGAGATAAGGGTATAGGCAACTTGCAGTAGGTATTACGTTTCGATAACGGCGTGTAACGGTACAGGTTTTGGATTCAGATTTTTTTTCTTACAAGTATGAACATACGCGTCGTTTAAATTTTAAATTTTAATTTTTTAAAAAAAAATATAAGCATAAAATCAAAAATCGGTATTTTATCCCCCATAGAGAAGATTTTAAACTATATATAACAAAAAAATGTCGGCCATATAATTTTATTTACACAATACTTTGAATAATCTTCAGGCTAAAAATTTGATTTCTTATAATTTTTTGAATAACTAAACCTTTTATGGTTTATTTTAGACCTAAAAGCCTAAATAATAAAATTACGCCTACTAAGAATGATCGAATTTTAGTGCTGTAAAAACATTTAAGCTCATCGACCTTTTTACCAAGTTATTGTGGAAGTTGTTTTTTGAATAACTGTTTTGCTTACAATAATGAGGATACTAAAAATTAGATACGAGTAAATTCAAATAGGATTTAAAAACAGAATTTTAATTGAAATATCAAAAATCGATTACCACAGTAACGTGAAAAGAGGCCTTTGACTTATGAGAGCTCGAATATTTTTACTGTATTATAATCGGACCATTCTATGTAGGCGTAGTTTTGTCAGGCGTTTAAGTCTAAAACGTCCAACAAAAATAAAACCGACCGCTTTCAATTCCTTTAAAATCGCGAGACTATAGAAAAAATAAAATACATTAAAAGTTTGTCACTATTATGGCAATTCCCCATTTGAAAAAAAAATAATAACTCGACGAATCGTTCAGTCCTATCAAGTGGGAGCATTTAGAGGTATGTGTAGACAGTTTTACACACACACTCACATTCACCGCGGGAATACAATTATTATTTTTGTTATTATTGTATGCAATTCATTGTGCACCTATAGTGTACACACACTCACACATACGCTGCGTCGAGTAGCGCGTTCGAAGGGAAAAGAGTTTTACCCAATTTTAGTATTTAATTCCCCCAGAGAATCGACACGATTGCTATTGCACGAACGTTCGTACTCGACCTCTCCGCGCTCATCCATCTCGCCCCGCAGTCGCTCACAAACTGTTTACCCGCCGCCTCCAAAGTCCCGTCATGTCAAACCGCCTACCCTGTGACCACTGTAAATCCGTCTCGATCCCGCAAAGGTATACATTATGTACTAAATGTCGTCGACGATTGATACAACAACATCATTGAACCCCGGTTCTGTCGCAATGACCTCGCCTTTAAGCCGTTTTGAACCGACCACTCGTTTCGCGTGGTAGACACTACTCATAGAGACTGTGTACGTTAATCGTTTGGTTTATCTTTATTGGTCGATTTGTAAATAAGATTATATACTCCGTGATACGAGAAAACGGTCTTGCGCAGAAACCATAATACGTTACTTACATATGCGCCTGCGCAGACAGGAGTAACGCAGGTGCGTTCTCTCGTTGCACAGAGTGTATAAAGACCAAACATTGAGACGGCGCATCAGTGCCTAGGACAAACGGATGGCGGGGCCCTGAATTTTTCCAATTACTTTTAGGTATTATTATTAAACGTTAAGAAATCTACAAAAACATTATTTCTATAATTTTTACAATTTTTCTTTGACAACATTTTGTATATTAAATTACAAAATTATGAATTTTACATAATTTATTGATCTTGTTTTGTATTATACACAGTTTTATCAACTTGTAAAACAAATTAACACACAAGAGGCCCCTATGCTTTGAAGTAATGTTAACCAGAAACTATAAAAAACTAATTTTTGTTAAAATATGGACTATAGCTCTTTTAGCATTAATCGATTCATATAATATCGGGACGTTCACTTTTAAATGTTAATGTCAGTTGGTAATACATTCCTTATACCCTTGTCCCTATTAGATTATCACTATCAAACACCCGTGTAATAGTTCATTATTTTAAAAATTAAACATTAAAACCATTGATTGAGAGCGCTTTATACTGTTTTTAGTTATGGCGGTAGATAAACGATCGACGCGCAGGCTCAATACAGCCAGGAACGACGTAGTGCGCTTGCGCGACGATCGTCAGCGCTAACGGTACTTACCGCCATAACTAAAAACAGTACAAAGCGCTCTACAACGGCAACAATTTACGCGCAACAAAAGTTACATGCCAGTGGGCTATCTATATTATTTATAATCAATGATTATAATTTATAACATATCAAGAAGATTGTCAATAATAACACTTTATCGGATGACAGGTAAACATATTTTTTTTATTTCTATATGATGTTTTTACTTTTCGTTAGAGGCCTCCGTACCATGAGGTCCATGGCAGATGGCTTCGTTCAATAATCCCTTTTGCGACCCCGCGTCATACATTGGCTGAAAATTATAAAATTGTTCGTCAATAAAATTCGTGGTAAGTAATTATGATGTGTCATATATTATCAAGTTATGACCGGCTTTTCTGACAACTGATGTTTTTTTTTTGCGTTGAATGCCTTAAATAACCTACTAAGGATGATCAATACATAATATTATTTAATTTATATAATAACAATATTTTAGCGTAATGAAGCTTACATCATTGTATAGCACTGGGCTACGATAAAGTTAGTATAAGTCATCTTATATTATAAAACATTAATATTACCAAATTATAACCGACTCGCAGAAAGGACCTTGACAAACTGTGATCAAGACGGTTAGTGGCACGATGAAGACGATGGTGAAATTGAGATAATTTGAGCACAACCACCTTGCAATTGACACCAACGTTGTGGGTAATGAAACTGATATTATATTATAATGTATTATCATTGAATATATTATGTTATATTATATAAATACTCAATGGCATTATATGATATTATCATGGCGTCCCAACAACGATAGGCAATACAGCGAAAACGGCTTCTCTAGGTATTTTATTGTGTATGTATATTTTTATACAGCACATATTATATTTCATTTTTAAACTCAATAAATAATGAAATTCGAATTTAAAATTTTGTTTTCAGATATCTAAGTATTATTGATAAAAATGTTTAAAAAAAAATTATATTTTTCAATATGTAATATTGTGTTTATTATTAAGCATTTTATTTTAAATGAAAGAATTGTGGTACTTAAAATTTAAATTAAATATAAATGTTAAATTAAACTGTTAAAAAAAAACTATACTTGTATACGGTTGAAATCTCAGGATCATTACTATAATGATTTATGATCATATCATTGAAACTGTAACTTATGTGGTTTTTTGTAGTATGTCATTTATAAATACAATTTTTTTCATATTTTTTCTTTTTTTTTACAGGAAAACATAATATTTTCCATATAATTTAAAGGCTAAAAACAATTGTATTATAGCCAATAAAGCACTCAACACATTTTCTGTACATATTTATATATTCTCTAAAGTTACATTGTTGACGGTTCTAATTTGTTATCACTCGAAATACAGTTTTCGTTGCAATTTAAATGTCTGCAATTCAAATATTAATATTATAATCCAATTACCTTTATGCGCTTTGTTAAAAATGATATTACTAAAAAAGTTAATTTATACTGATTATATTTTAAGATTTAGTTAATACATTACAGTATATAGTGTCAGCACGGTAAAACAGATTTTACTTAAGTGCGTTTGTTATATGGTTTGCCTTTCTCTATTAACTATATTATTCTCTATTCTATTAAGTCTTGAAATTTTTAGATTGTTAAATGTGTCCTATTTTGACGCTAGTATTTTAAGATTTATGCAAGCTTTTAACAGTTGTAATTTTTCAGTTGTAAAAAATCCACTCTTTCCTAAAGTTGTCAAAAAGGATTGCGTCTATATAAATACTATAGAATAGAGTATTTTTTATCTTTGATGCGGAAGTAGGAAGATATTGTTTTTTTACAAATAAAAAAACAATTAATTCAAATTACGGCGTTTTATAATTTTTTTCAAAATAGTCGAATTGGTTCTAAATGTGTATGGAATACTTTTTAGACATAGTACTACTGATAAACGTTGACAAATTAAACTACATCATAAACCCATATCTCTTGAAGGAGTGGAAACTTTTTTTTCATTTAGCTTTTTAAGTGAAATTTTAGAGTTTAAGGTCTAAAAATTAAACCTGAGGTAGATCTAGAATGGCACTATAATTTATACAATGTTTTCAAAAATCTCTAGTTAAACTTTTTTTATTAAGTAAAAACTAAAAGAAAAGTCAAATCACACTTTGACTGTTAATAGGTATTTGAAAATATTTGCATTATAATGTTAATTACGATGTATATGGGTAACTATGACAATCAATTTTTTTAGGCAGACGATCAATCCTAATCGTATCTGCCTTAGTACTAAAAATACATTATTAAAATGCTTTTATCCATATTTGTATTATTACCATTGAGGTTTCCATCGAAGCATTTATTTGAAAGTGATTTTATCACTTTCAATTGTAATAATTCATACAGATTTATTTTACTTTCCTGGTCCTAATATAATGCTCCGCCCCCACCTATGCCTCGGCCCGACTGTACTGGCTTTTTTTTTTCGTATTTATAAAATTCGAGATATAACTTTCGCGTCTATGTGACCAATGCAGCCGGGCTCTGATTAACGTTCGCTCTAGTCCTGCTCGATACGGCCATAACCCGAGAACCTGAGAAGTTTGCCTACAGGTACACCGAAGAATAATAATTGTGTGCACCGTCGAGTAAAAACCGATTTCTCAGACTCTATCCTATGGTAGTATGATTAGTGTAACATACATACAGTGTGATGGCCATTGGAAACGGGCTAGCCGTGGGTTCGGTTTTGCGCATTAACCTGTCAGGGACAATAATTAACCGGCAGCGGTGGCGGCGGCGGCGGCGTACAAGAACTCTGGAAACGCGTGTTGGCAGTGTGGTCTGGTCGCGGTCGTCGTAGTCACTCGTCTCGTGCACGCCGACACGCGCTCGCGCCCCAAGCCGCACGGTCATAGTACCTGAATCCACGAGGGTCGCAAAGACGGTCCCTCGGTCCAAGCACAACACGCCGTTCAGTAGCACGCCTCCGGTGTAGTCTGACAGGCGGCCCCACGTGCTGTTTCCTCTCGGCCGACTACAGTAGTGAGTACACGACAAAATAATATGCAAAATTATTACGCTTAACATACTTGCAGACGGCGGCGCACCGGTTTCCTACCCCATTCAAAAAACCGTATCGGTATTATTTTACTTTAAATAATTCTAGCACATCCAATGTCCGTCGATTCTATGTAGGCTTTGAGAAAGCGGGGTTTTTTTTGTTGCGAATTCCCATATTCGTCGACGAAAAGTATTATTTTTCGTGAACCTAACTCGTCTCTCGTTGAGCTGTATACTTTCGAGTATTACATGTTTGCAAAGAGAAGTCTAGTCGATTAAGTCGACCGTCTAGTCAACAGACTATCAAAACTCTAAAGTATACAAATTGTAATAATAGGAAATATATAGTCATCATTAGGGCCCGGAAGTATATTATGCTCTAAAAATAACCAATATATGCATGCATTTATGCGCAAAAAATACTTATATTTCATGCACTAAAAAAAACCTCAATAAGCACTCAATCATTTGCTATCATTTTATTTAAAAAAATATTTTTTAGTTGTTTATTACGTTAAGACTAATATTGTAACCAAAAATTCGAAGAATTATTAAGTAAGAATATTTTTTAATTATAAAAAATAAAATGTATTTTGGAAAAAACAAAATAAAATAAACACAATACTTTTTTTTCTTTTTCAGCTAATATTATTTTATATTTTTATTATTTTATTGGTACATTGTGATAAAAATATATTGAACATATTAAAAAATATGAAAAACTCGGAAATATGCTAAAATATTCAAAACAGTTTTTGGTTTTTTTTTTAATGTAACTCAAATTTGTAGCTCATCCAGCTATTTTTTTAACCATTCAATGTAAACTTGTAAATGGACGTACTTCCGGGATCTAGTCATAACATTTAAAAAATGTTAAAATAGAAAAATAAAATATATTAAATCCAAATATAATAACGACATAATTCGCTAATGTTACCTTTAAAAATATTTTATGTTTTTTTTAAAAAGTTATCCAACTTTTAGCCACACGCAATCTATCTGCGAAAATGGTTTTGCGCAGGACAAATTTTCAGGAACCCAGGTCATTATAAATGTTGTCCAAAAAATAATCTTTTTCGTTATAAAAATATATTTTAAAAAATGGGTAACTCATAAAGGTATTAAATACAAGTAAGATTATTAAAACTATACGAACAAGTAAAATCATATTATGTAGTTAGTTTCAGAAGTTGAAATAAATTTATAGTGTGGATTTGGAGTAGAAAGGGAAGTAGAAGATCCCCAAAAAATTATAGCTATAGAGTAATCGGCAATGATATGAACTAAGAAGATATAATTTTTGGCAATTCTAGTAAGTTATGTGGTTGACAGTTTCAAGTTAGGACATGGGAATGGGCTTGTTCAAGAATAGTAGCAAAACAAATACAAGGAAAATATATAGGTTTCTAAAAACAAAATAATTACAAATTAATTACTGTTAAATTCGATGTATCAAAAATAGACTGTATTAAAATTTTTTTTTTTATAAATTTGTTATGGAAAATCTATAGAATATATTATATTTGTATAAACTAATTTCTAACCCGGAAAAACAGTCAATCCAATTATGGATGTAACAAAAAGTGTATAATTAATAATATAAAATAATGGTAATACGGGAAAGCCGATGACAATGTGATGAGACGCAGAAGCCCGCAATTACATTATTGTTGCCTACCTTTAGCCCTTTCAAACGTTTCCTTTATTCTAGTGTCCGTGAGTAATTATCATTAGTACTTGAAATCATTTTCAATTTTTGTGTTCTCATTATTTTCTAGTATATGCTGACTCCTACATGTACATTTTATTTGATTACAAGTTGACAATATTGCCCTAGTAATCGTACACTAAAAACACATTTAAACAATACTGAAACGGGTATAATGTTACAATAGTCTACAATGGTAGTAAAAAAAAGGTGGTGGCTTTTTAAATTTGTTCTTAAAGTCAAGTAGAAGTATAATTATTGAGCTAATCTCAAATTTGAAGAAGAATAAGAAAACAACACTAGCGTTTGGATATTATTATACTCAGTATTTTTCTGTACGCTGTTTGTGCACTATTTATGAAAAGGGCTATTATTTTTAAATATTGTTAACGTTTGTCTCCCCTTTATAATACCTATTAATGTAACTACTATTTGATTGGACCGCTTGATTAAAATAAACCAGACTCTAGAGTAAGTTAATTGGAAGAAATAAAAGTCCCGAAAAAATCAAGAATGAAGTGATTTCACTTTAAAAATTAGAGCGTACTTAAATCTTTAAAGTACAAACTAGCAGTTTATTGTTACATACAAAATGATAAGCAAATTTAGTTAAACAGAATAGTAAAGTATGTTTTAATCATTTCGTAATAAAGATACTTTATATCAAAAGTGTTTATGTGGTTTTTTGTTGTATATCATTTATAAATACAATTTTTTTTACAGGAAAACATAATATTTTCCATAATAAATCAAAGGCTACAAACAATTGTATTATAGCCATTAAAGCACTCAACATATTTTCAGTACACATTTATATATTCTCTAAAGTTACATTGTTGACGGTCCTAATTTGTTATCACTCGAAATACAGTTTTCGGTTGGGACTCGAGCCACAGTTTCTTTAATGTCAGTGAATATTAAAAATGCTCTTAATATTTAAATAGAAATATTTTTAATGTGAATTATTAAACGTTGGTTTTGTTAATTTAGGCAGTATATTTACGGTTCTAACATGTATTGCGCTTAATCAGAATTTTAGAAAATGGTCATGTGATATTTTTAAAAATGTATTGGCCCAAAATATTCTTAGCATGCTTTTTCCTTGTTACCAACCCTCATAGTTACTTTCCAGTATAAATTCAAGTTTTTGAATCGTGCTATTTTTCAAAATAAAAATGCAACGCATTTGTATATAGAATAACACTCTACGATTTAGTATTTTTCACAAACGATAAACAGTTGAAAAAATATTAATTGTAATTATTATAAATACCCACTATTAATATTTAGATAATAATTTGCTTCTGAATAATTCGCTGGATAAAATTTGTCATGACGATATCATGTTAGAATATTAGATTTTTCTATTATTATTACTTTATTCTATTTTTAATACTTTTACCCAATTTGTTGTTTACTAATATTTAATATAGTAACTAGATTTCCTTGATTCTGTTTACGGATATTTTGCCAAGCAATGATTGTGCTAAATAACACCTTCCAAATTAATTTGCATATTACAATATAAATCTTTAAACAACATGTAATAGTCGGTAAATGTATACCATGGCCTCCGTAGTACCTACTATTAGTAAATCGCAATTTATTGTATAAAAGTATGATAAAGAGTTTATTTTAAAAGTATAATGATCTCAGAGTGTTCTAATTGTACTTGGTAGTGTTAATCGCTATTCAATAAGAAACGTAGTACAACCCTAAGTTTAGGTACTAGAATTTTCTTTTAAAGATTTAACAAAAAAACACAAATTTTTAATGCATAATTTTTTAATGATTTATTGTTTTCAATTATTCTTTATAATATGCAATGTCATTCTTATACTTTTAAAATTCAATATAATATTTTATATGCTTGAATTAAAATATTGTATTCATGGTTGTTTGTTCCTACTATACTTATAATTTGAGTAGAGTTTTCTTATAGATTCAGTATTATTAAATTGTAAAAATAGTTTGTGCAAACTTTTTATCGGTCAACTGTTTGGAAGTTATAGTTTTTAAATTAATTAATAATATAAAGTGTAATACTGTATTCAGTTTCAAATATATTATAGTATCATAATTTTATGATTTGGATACAGCACTATTTGTCATACTCCTTTATTATTATACTATAAGCATTACCTTATACTTTATTGTATTATTATTATCTAAGCAATGTAATATACAGCTAATAATTGATAGTTGTTGTCTTTTAGCTTTATCTAGTTCCCATTGTTTGTGGACGTCAAATAGTTTGACATAGGTTTCTTCATCTGGACCATGTTGCTGTTTTGTGTTAAAATACCTCTTTAGATAGATGGACATATTTGTTATCAATATTCACCACGGTTGTATTTTGTACCGTCGCATTTACAACATCAACTCTGCTGTCGAGTAATTCAATTTCCTAATTGAAAAACGTCAAACCTAGTCATTCATATTTGATGATACCATTGAGATACAATGTGTCACTTCTTATACTACTGTTACAACGTTTATCAAATTTGAAATGGGTACTGTTGCACAGTTTACTCAATGAAATAATCGACAGACGCATTTAAATAACTATTCACCGGTGGATTATATTTCCCATAAACTTAACAGATGTACCTAATTGAAATTCGCATTGTCTTGCGTGAGATAGATAGGCGACCTGTGTCCATTCAAGTTTAAGTATGTACAAACGTGCTAGTCTCTACATCAAAACAATTTTCGTTTCATCTCCGACGCACATATATACAGTGTGTTTAATTTATCGTAAGGCAATCATTTTTTCTTAAAATAATTACAACTGTGTAGTTATAAATTTACCACCCTGTATAATATTATGTATATATACCTATTTTATAGCTATCGGACTGCACGAAACTGGTCCAGCCGTCGATCATCAATTAACTTCAGTATTGGCAATTATTGTTGTCTAACTAAGTGTAGCGCATTGCTTAATCATAGATCGTAGAATACAGTTTCTTTAGAATATTGTAATAATATAGTATATTGTTTTACGAAGTACTTATTTTAGTTAAAAAGTCAAGAGGGAGTACTTTGTAATTGAATTTTTTCGACAACACTTTAACTACAGCTTAAACTAATCTGACACACATTAAAAATATAGTTGAAATAATATAAAGCACAGACTAAAATAATACAGCATTAATGTGATAATATAGTATTACGTGTACACGCGAAGAGCAAATTAAAAGTAACATAAAAAATATAACTCGCTCTAAAATTAGCACATTGAATGATGACTAAAATGAGATAATCGTTTATT